CCACGTAGCAATATATGGTACAAGGCTGAGTTTAAAGTGGGATATCCGAGCCCGTAGGTTCGGGCAAAAAAACGCCTATAGACCACGTAAAAACGGAGTCAGTTTCCCAAGACGAGACTCTGCCCTTCGGCCAAGACGCATCAGGGGGATACCCTCTGACAGAAGCCAGTAAGTCCTGTCTATGACACCGGAAATAACATTGTTACATTATCTTTGACACTCAGAACTGAGAAAGAACAAAAAAGAAAGAAAAGGAATACTGAGAGAGTAAGAGTATAACGAGACAAGAAAAGGGGTGAAAAGGAGAAATATCCATAACATTCTACACATGTACACATACACACGCGTACAGATGTGTATATACGTACATAATTATTTGTTTAAGCGCTGCCCCATGCAGCAAGATAAGGCACAAGGCCGAGTTATGTGGGTTATCCTAGCCCGTAAGCTCAGGCATAAATTCCCTATAGAGCACGTAAAAACGGAGTCAGTTTCCCGAGACGAGACACTGCCCTTCGGCAGAGCCTCGTCTGGGGGATACCCTCTGATATGTGCCAGGTAAGTATATACAATGTAACCCGGATATAAGAGAGTTGTTGGGACCGGAGAAGAAGTCTCTAATATCCGGGTTTCTCTTATATCCGGGTTGCACTGTACATACATATATACATGCAGAGAAGGAAAAACTCGACCTAGCACCAAATAAATTATTTTTAACTTAATATAAAAAGAAATAAGGAAAATGAAAAAAAATCAGCAGACAATATATATATATATATATATATATATATATATATATATATATGAATTATAATAAAAAGAAAAAAACATTAAGTAACCAGACGACATGCGTTGAACCGATGACAAAATTCGTTGAAAAATGCACCTCCTACCCTCCCTCAACTTAACCACTTTTTCGAATGTAACTCATAATTGATACAATAATAGTTAATACAAATGAACACGCTACCACCCCTGTCTAAATGATTGGATTTCTATATATCCTTGGAAACAAAAAATTATGAATTGTATGTGCGTTTAAAACTCAGTAAATTTCAAAATGAGTTTTTCCAAAATTCACTTGAAGATGACACAGAACTAATGCTTTTAATTTAATTATATAATTAAATTTGAAGTTTTTTGCTTCGGTTTTTGAAACATGGTAATTCCTGCGTAGCGAAGAAAGCATATTTTAAATCAGTTAGTTTATATATATATATATATATATATATATATATATGTATGTATGTACATATATATATATGTATACACACACAGACATGACAGAATTGAATAGACGCTCAAAAAACGTTTATTTTATTAAACAAGTAATTCATACAAATGAAGTAATTATAAATGGTCATAAATTTAATAACTAATACTTGCTTGACATCCCTTTTGCTTTTTTTGATGCAAGGATGCTTCTAGGCATGCTAGCGATGAGTTCATGAATATCATCTTGAGGGATTTCTTGCCATGTTTGACGAAATAATCCTAAAAGTTCGGGCTTAGAAGATGGCTTCCTGTTCTTTTTGCAGAGTTTTCGATCTAATATGCCCCAAAGGTGTTCAATAGGGTTAATATCCGGGGACTGTCTTGGCCATGAAAGTTTATTGATCCCATTTTGTCTCAACCAATGTTGCTGGTGTATACCTATTTCTTTCCGGGTCCCAACCAGAGACCTAAGGTCAGAAATGGTATCATGACATTTTTCACTGAGTATTTTTAAGAGAAAATAAAACCAAGCGCCTAAGATCATATATTTTACATAGATACATAGTAAGGTGTGGGCTGTACTTAGGAGTACACTTTTTTTTTGTATTTCTTTAAGATTTGGTCTACCAGAAATCTTTTCAGAGAGTTTATCGGAACTTTTCCAATTAATCTGAGGGCTCCAACTACAACTGTTAATCTCCTCATCTGCCACATTTTTGCGATTTCGATTTCGATTTCAAGGTCCTTATATTTTGATAGATTTTTAAAATATCCAAAGATATGTTACTATCTACAGGGAATGCCATGTCAATAAGAAAGTACATTCTGTTTTTATGGTCTTTGATCACGATGTCTGGGCAATTAACTTTGATTGTTCTCAATGTGTCTGTTGTAAAATTCCGTAAAATTGTTACAGTTCCTATCTCCATAACCGGATCTGGACGATGTTCATACCAGTTTTTTACAGTTTCCTTTCCTTAAAACGTTGCAAATTTCCCATTGCAAATATTGGCCAATTCTGCCATGCCGTGTTTCATATTCAGTGGGTGCCAATACCGTGCAACCTGATACAAAATGGTCAATTCTTTCTGGATATTTATCACAGAATCTGCATTTGGGCTAAAACAATTTTCCCGTATGTGTGCTTTGTAATTACAAATTAGCAAGCATTAGTCTTGTGCAACAAGAATAAAACCTTCAGTTTCAACATTTAACTCCTCACTAAGTATCCACTGAACGGTACGGGGTTTATCTATGTCAGCTTGTTTGGTATGGGCAGAGTATTGACCGTGAAGCAGGTTTTTTCCGGGGAGGTAGACAGGGCCTGAACCCGTCTGGGCGGGTTCAAAGGCTATATTTTTTGGCCGAGCCTTCGGTCTCGGATATACCCACATTAAACAGGCCTTGTGCCATATTCAATCCTCGTGGATGGATCGATAAATACTAAGACAGATAGACCTTCGAGTCTATCTGAGTCGTGATACAGTCTTTGACTGTAAGCGACGTCTGTCGAACTCTCAGCGTTAGCAGGAACCTGGACGAAGCTTTGCCGAAGGGCAAAGTTTCGTCGGGGAGGTAGATAGGGCCTGAAACCCATCTAGGCGGGTTCAAAGGTTATATTTTTGGACGAGCCTTCGGGCTCGGAGATACCCACATTAAACCGGCCTTGTGCCATATTCAATCCTCGTGGATGGATCGATAAATACTAAGACAGATAGACCTTCGAGTCTATCTGAGTCGTGATACAGTCTTTGACTGTCAGCGACGTCTGTCGAACTGTCTGCGTTAGCAGACAGGAACCCGCACGAAGCTTTGCCGAAGCGCAAGGTTTTCTTTCGGGGAGGTAGACAGGGCCTGAACCCGTCTAGGCTGGTTCATAGGCTATATTTTTGGCGGAGCCTTCGGGCTCGGAGATACCCACATTAAACCGGCCTTGTGCCATATTCAATCCTCGTGGATGGATCGATAAATACTAAGACAGATAAAATTCGAATCTATCTGAGTCGTGATACAGTCTTTGACTGTAAGCGACGTCTGTCGAACTGTCTGCGTTAGCAGAGAGGAACCCGCACGAAGCTTTGCCGAAGGGCAAGGTTTTTCCGGGGAGGTAGACAGGGCCTGAACCCGTCCAGGCGGATTCAAAGGTTATATTTTTGGACGAGCCTTCGGGCTCAGAGATACCCACATTAAATCGGCCTTGTGCCAAATTCAATCCTCGTGGATGGATCGATAAATACTAAGACAGATAGACCTTCGAGTCTATCTGAGTCGTGATACAGTCTTTGACTGTAAGCGACGTCTGTCGAACTCTCTGCGTTAGCAGAGAGGAACCCGGACGAAGCTTTGCCTAAGGGCAAGGTTTCGTCCGGGGAGGTTGACAGGGCCTGAACCCGTGTAGGCTGGTTCAAAGGCTATATTTTTTGGCCGTGCATTCGGTCTCGGATATACCCACATTAAACCGGCCTTGTGCCATATTCAATCCTCGTGGATGGATCGATAAATACTAAGACAGATAGTCCTTCGAGTCTATCTGAATCGTGATACAGACTTTGACTGTAAGCGACGTCTGTCGAACTCTCTGCATTAGCAATGAGGAACCCGGAGGAGGCTTTGCCGAAGGGCAAGGTTTCGTCCGAGTATGTAGACAGGGCCTGAACCCGTCTAGGCGCGTTCAAAGGCTTTATTTTTGGCCGAGCCTACGAGCTCGGTGATATCCACATTAAACCGGCCTTGTGCCATATTCATTCCTCGTGGATGGATCGATAAATACTAAGACAGATAGTCCTTCGAGTCTATCTGAATCGTGATACAGACTTTGACTGTAAGCGACGTCTGTCGAACTGTCTGCATTAGCAGAGAGGAACCCGGAGGAAGCTTTGCCGAAGGGCAAAGTTTCGTCCGGGGAGGTAGACAGGGCCTGAACCCGTCTAGGCGGGTTCAAAGGCTATATTTGTGGCCGAGCCTACTGGCTCGGAGTTACCCACATTAAACCGGCCTTGTGCCATATTCGGTTTTCGTGGATGGATCGATAAATACCAAGACAGATAGACAGAGAAGTTCTTAGCTGAGCTAGTTATTGACTACTCAGGCGATTGCTGTACCTTTTTACCAACCTATTAAAACCCTTTTTATTGTTACGTGTTATTTGGCGTTTGTCTCTACTAACCCCAAATCAACATCATAACATTAATGTTTCTTTCTTATTTGTTTCTTAAATTCTATTTTTATTTAATATTTCTTTAAATTCTACCAACGTTCCATATTTATTTTATGTGTTTCAATTTTATATTTTATTTCTATTTACTAAAGTTCCATTATTGCTGTTGTTATTATTATTAGTCGAAAAAAATAGGTGTACACAAATTGTTTTCTGCAAAGGCAAGCGATTGAAGTCGGTAACTTCCGGTTTGCCGTTTGGTTTCAACCAATCAAATTCAGGTGCAGAGGAAAGGAATTAGATGAATAAATAAAAGAAAGGAATAAATAAATTGTGGGATAGAAATATCCCCCCACTGCTTTCATCTCCGAAAAAATAGAAAAAATAAAAAACGAGCATTTGGCATTCGTTTTTAAACTTCATTTGATTTTTCTTTCGGCAATGCTCAATTGTCACGATTTGAGCTGATGTTTTAAAAATTCTTCCTTTCATTCTTTTTAGTTTTTGGGGTTTTTTTTTTGGGGGGGGGTTGTGGTGATATTTATTTATTTACCTTCCATGTTTACTTTACGTTTCTATTCGTATTTATTTTATTCTTCAATGTGATAACAGTTCTTCATTCTCGTTC